ATTTAAAAATTTATCAAATACAAAATAAATTTTATATTCAGTAATATGGAATAAACATTTTCATTTTGTCCCAACACTAACTATTTATTTATGTAAGTATAAAATTTATAGAAATACATCTATTGCACATTTATCCTTTAGTTATAACATTATAAATTCTCTTAGTTATTATTAATTATTACAAAAACGTTATTCACACTCTATAACATTCTTTAGTTTATAATATTATGAATTCTCATAGTTATTACATTAATTATTTCTATCTTTCATATTTTCTTGTATTAACTTTTTACCAATAATTTTAATATTATTACACCGCCCCTATATATATGATAACACGATGTTGTTATTTTTCCTTGGATGAATCATGCTTGATTGAATAAATTGAAAATCGTTTACAAGTATATGAACTACATCTTTGTTTGGTGTAATATAACCATGTGCTTATATATATGATTTCATAGATAGAATATATTATTTAATTTTAATTTTTAGTTCTTTTTTGATAAAAAAAAGGAAACCTTTCTCAGTTAACTATGGACAGTCAAATAACTATATTTGATTTGTGTATATAGTCAATCGAGAAGTTAAATATGACAGCCAACAACAAGAACATCATCTATTATGTTATAACTTATAAAATAAACATTAATATACAAAGAGTAGTTCTAAAAATAAAATGTAGTTGTTCTCTTCACATGTTCATATGACATCTAAGTAGTTTAACGTGGAAAACACGTGCAAAAGGACATTTGGTTAGATGATGACAAGAAAAAAACACAACAAATATCGTCTATAAGGTAATATTACTGAGATACAACTAATTACATGATTGAACCTCATCAAATTGAAATAAATATATGCATTATTGCATTCAACTAATAAAAATTTTCATTGACCATCTTCATAGATTCGCGTGAATAAGAGATATATACGACTATCCACATTGAACATTCACAAAAGAATCTGCAATTATCTTTTTTGGTAAATAAACATTTTTATTAACCAAAGTGAGAATTACAAACCATTAAAAGAAACAAACCCAGCCTGGACATCTCCCAGGAGTGTATGCTTCCAGCTCTATCTAGACTGCTACTATCTATTACTTACCCTATTCATTCCACATCAAAAATTAATTATACATGGTACCAATCTAACATCTGTAGTTTCATGTTTAGTTTCGGCTTCATTCCTCCTCTTATGTGAACTTCTTGGATAATCTTCCTGACTAAATCATCACAACTTCTATTCTTCTTCTGAAATATCCTCTGGTTTCTCTCTTGCCAAATGTAATATACACTTGCTGCAAGTGTTATGCGAAGTATTTCAGCTTCTGGTAGCTTCCCTTTATAGTGATCTTGCGCCCATCTTTGTTCCTCATTCCACCCTTTTGTCTGCTTCTGGATAGCTTGCCACCTTAAGACTTTTTGCCGAACCTTGCCTGAGTAGTGACAGTTGAAGAAGAGATGTTCAATGTCCTCATTTCCAGCTTTACACAATATACATCTGCTGTCCTCCACACTACCCCAAGTAAGCAGTCTGGCTCAGGGGCGGCTCGACAGTGTTAAAAAAAAGACATGTGCCTTAGGCCCCAAAATTTAAGGGGCCTCATTTTTAATAATAATAGGTTATAAGTTATTATTATTTTTAATAAATATTGAATACTATTTGTAGAAAAAGTAATTTTTCACGAAAAATGAAGGAATTATTAGAAGAATTTGACATATTTGGAGTACTATATCTCATTAAAAATAATTTAAAATAAGAATGGTTATATTATCAATTGAAAACTAGAACAAATCAATTAGATAAAAGTTATTAACAATTTAACTTAAGGCCCCGTTTGATTTTTGTTTTAGGCCACGAATATGCTTGAGCCGCCCCTGGTCTTGCTTTTGTCAATAGCCTCCGATGCAATGTTAAGAATAAAATAAAGCTCCATTTTGGACATGCATAAGTATTACATACCAATTTTCTCCATTCTACTTTTGGGTATTCCCCTCTCAGTAGTCGGTACACCTGTTTAATTGAGAACTTTTCCATTTGTATCACTTGTGATTCATTCCATCCCACAGCCTCCAAGACTCTATGTGTTTGTAAGATCTTCCTCACCATCCATGAGGCCTAGTTTGCTTGGATATTCCATACTGTCCCTTGTTTCCCATAGTACATGTGCACCCATTGGACCCATAGCTTGTCCTTTTTCTTGCTCAAGTTCCACAAAAGTTTGCAGATGGCTGCCTTGTTCCACTCCTGGATACTTACAATGTTCAATCCTCCTGCAGTTTGTGGCTTGCACAACTGATCCCATGCAACCAATGCTTTCTTTGATGTATTTGCCCCTCCAGTCCATAAAAAAGTTCTGCATAAGCCTTCAATGCATGTGATCACTTTCTTTGGCAATATAAATACTTGAGACCAAAATACTTGAACAGAAGACAATACACTTTTAATTAGCTGAACCCTTCCTGCATATGATAGGAATCTAGATGTCCAGCTTTGTATCCTTCCTAGAATCTTATCAATCAATGGTTGGCATTGCACCATAGTTATTCTCTTAGTACTTAGGGGGACTCCCAAGTATCTAAAAGGCATTGCACCTAGTGAAAATCCTAGCTCCTGTATTATGACCAGCTGCATTTCAGTTGACACTCCTCCAAAATAAATGGAGCTTTTATCTACATTTGCTTCCAGTCCTGAGGCTGCTGAAAATACTTTAAAAAACTCATAAACTTGTTTAACAGATGTGAGTTCCCCTTTAGTAAATAGGAGCAGACCATCAGCAAAACTTAGTTGGACCAGCTTCAATTTAGCACATCTTGGATGATACTTGAAACTTGGAGACTTTTTCAGTTGTTTCAATAATCTTGTGAAATACTCCATGGCTAATACAAAGAGATAAGGTGATAATGGGTCTCCTTGCCTTAGCCCCTTCTTAGCCTCAAAAGGTTTACTGGGAATTCCATTAATCAATACAGTGTAATTCACTGTGCTTATGCATTGTACTATCCAATTCACAAAAACACTAGGGAAACGTAGTTGAATCAGCACATGTTTCACAAACTCCCATTCCACTGAATCATATGCTTTCCTCATATCAATTTTCATCATGCATCTGGGTGAAATCCCTTTCCTCCCATAGCCCTTGACCAATTCAGTACTTAGAATGATGTTATCATTGATCAATCTGCCTGGCACAAAAGCAGACTGCCCTTTATCAATTAGACTATCCATCACAACCTGCATTCTATTAGTGAGCACTTTTAAAATGATTTTGTACATCACAGTACAACATGAAATAGGTCTAAATTCTGATATTTTTGAAGGATGTTCAACTTTGGGAATCAGAGTCACTGTGGTACAATTTATAGCTTTATGTATCTTCCCTGTTACAAAGAACTCTTGTACAGCCTCAATAAGCTCCTCTCCAACTGTTGCCCAAGTTTGATTGAAAAAATATGCATTAAAACCATCACAACCTGATGCTTTATTGTCATTTATCCCTTTTAAAGCTTGTACTATTTCCTCCCTTGACACAGGTGCTGTCAACTGTGCTTGCTGACCTCTATCTAGTCTTGGTCCATCTTTCATTGCTTGCCCATCCACAACTGGTAATTGAGTTGCACAAGTCCCCAACTGATATTATTTTGTGCAAAACTTATTATTCAAATCTTCACTTAAAAAGCAATACTATTTACTATAACATATACTTTCTGAATTGGCAATCACGTGCAACACACGTGTCGAAAAACTAATATAAGTAAACATACAAATAAACAAATATATGATCTATTAAATCATTTGTTAAAATTGAATACACAATTGTTCTATAATAAATATTATATCTAAACATAATATGTAATATAAATTGCATGGTTAATAGTATATATCTCACAATACATAAGATGTGAGATGCAGAAATGAGGATGATGAGGTGGATGTATAGACATGCTAGGAGAGAAGATTAGAAAATGAAGATACCGAGGATAATATAGGAGTGACCTCTCTAGTTGAAAAAATGAGAGAGACAAGACTGAGATAGTTTAAACATGTGAAGAGGAGATTCCTATATTCCTTGATGAGGAGGCCAATATGAGAGGTTGGCAAAGGTGGGTTTATATAAGAAGATATGAAAGTCATGAATTAGGCGCAAGGTTAAAAGATAGTGGAATGTTGTCTCACTCCCCTACATGATAAGCTGAGTTGGAATATTGTATAAGCATTGTTCTCGACTACGGCTACTACCTCTGTTTCTTATGCTTCTTTACCGCACTATTCTTCTCTATATGATATGTTATCCTTTCTCTAATATTCTCTATATCATACTGTCTTGTTATGTGATACTTGAGCTGAGGATCTTTCGAAAATAATCTCTCTCTATCTCTACGAGGTAGGGATAAAATCTGTGTACACATTCTATCTAGGACACATTCAATCTGGTCCCATACCACACTTGTGGCAGTACAAACTAGATATGTTACTATTGTAAAGATCCATGGGCTTATGCCTCATGTCTCGAGGCTTATGCTTTGTCCTATACTAAGTAGAATGCCCCGCCTTAGGCTCCGGCCTTTTAAACCACTGCTTTTTTTGTTACAGAGTATAGTTTTAAGACTTTGGATCAGGGTCTGATTATCATCTTGAAATTAATCCTTTCTCGTGATGTATGACTAATGTCTAATGTGTTAAAACCAAATTTACTGATGTGTTAGGCCTTGTTGAATCTTTTTTTGAACTAAAATAGTGTCAGAAATTGTCCTGTCAAAAGCAAATAGACTACTTCCAGAAAGGTGGATGAATTAGAGGTTATTACTAAGGTAATATAAAAGAGGCATTTGCAGAAAGAAAAATGACTTAATTACAAGTTACAAGTAACATTTATTTCAAAACTGGAAGGGTTTAACAGCAAAAATCAGAAAACTTTTGACAGAAAAAATCATCATACATTAGTTCCATTTGTATATACTAGGAGTATCTAATTTAGTTGAATTTGATTTCCATTCAACTGTTGAAAGTTGCTCTTCTTTAAGTTGTTGAAAATAAGTACTATGTTAACTCCTATTCTTGAACTCTTATATTCAATCTTCTTAGCCATATGGAGTGAACAATCATATGAAAAAGATCAAATCTTTTAGGAGATCCATTGATCACAAAATGCCTTTGCACTTGCTTCACTCTCCTATGCATTCTCAAATACTGACTCTGAGAAATACTCATCAGTATCTTCTTGATATTTGGTATGTCCTTCACACCAATAGTCACAGAGAATGCATTCCAATTTAAGACATCACTAAACGGTGGCACATAGCTATCTGATATCAAGACAGGTATACATTCTGCATATATCGCTTCGACAATTCTTGGACTTGCAACTTCATATCCACTTGGACATAAACAGAACCTGCTGTTCTTCAACATGGTTTCATAAGATTTGTCATTTGGAAGTTTGTCATAAACCAGCACATCTTCATCTTTTCCTTTCCATTGTTCTAGTAGATGGTGTCTTATGTTACCATGTAAACCACCAGCAAAAAATGCTAGGATTGATCTTCTTGATGGTGAGGGACCTCCAATGAGTCCTTTGATATCGCCCGTCTTGAGATTGATTTCCGGTAAGGATACATCTTTTAGAGGATTAAAACCTTCTGAGGTATTAGCATTGCATAGAACTCTTATGGAGGTGTTGAAGAGATGTGGAACATATGAAGTCAAATGTGGCCCCTGGAGACCATCAATAGAGAAGCTTTTCATCAAAAAGGCAAATTTGATGACACAATGTCAATCAAACTATCAACTACTCCCTCCGTTTCAATTTATTTGTCTTGCTTTCCTTTTTAGTATGTTTCAAAAAGAATGTCTCTTTCTCGACAATTCTTTAAGTTCAACTTTACACATGACATGTTTAAGATCACAGAATAAAACAACATTTTGATACATTCCTTACTTTTTTAAACTCCGTGTCAAAGTCAAAACAGACAAACAAATTGAAACAAAGAGAGTATGTCAGAGTCTGAAACTAGTTGACTCTAGAGAATTTGCTTACCCAATCATGACAAGAGAGCATGAAGTGATCAGCACCACGACTTCTGTTCCAAAAAGAATGTCTTTCAGAAATAACTTTGACATAATCAGCAACAGTTCTACCAATGGCATGCATATCATGGGCACCAGGGACAAAAAGGTATTGAACCATCACAACTACACTGAATGGTAGAAAATACACCAAGGCCTCATCTGGATTTTTTGTTCTATAAAGGCTCCCCCTTTCCATTTCATGTATAAATCTTCCCTCTGTTGAATATATACTCCTACATGGACCATTATGGAATATTGGAGGTTCTCCTTCCTCATACACATATACCTTGAAGTTCTTCTCCATTTCAAGATAGCTCCTACAACATTTTCGCGAAAGATACAAATTATGAACACAACGTTACTGTAGATTTAGTTTAAGTTCTATGCACTAACGGTATATACACAACCAGTTCATGTATACAGTATTATAAGTAAATCTATATGATAAACATTAACCGATAACATGATAAAATGGTAGTTTATATAACTTAAATTAATGTGAGGTCAAACCAATAAGGCCTGTGCTGGACTGGTAATTACTCCTATGTCTTTAATTATATGTCTTGGATTTGACGAAGTGGCATTTGTTAGGGAGAGTATTACCTCCTAAGAATTTAATTGGACTCTAATACAGATACCACACATTGAAAGAGAAACAAAAAATAAAATAAAATTGTGAGAGGTAGGATTAGTAGTACCTGTGGAAGGCATTTGCATTATGGTACATGGGGCCTTGAGGAACATAATCAGGGTCATGATGGTTAGATTTCATACTCCCATTTCTAGCAGCTTCTCTTATTGATGATCTAGATTTTGCCAAAATTGCTTCTAGCCTTTCTAACTTGCTATACATTTTAAGCACCCCTTTAGTTGCATTATTACCATGTTCTTCTCCTTCATTAGATATATCCTTATCAATCTCTTCTTCTCCTTCATTTGATTCATCCCTCTCAATCTCTTCTCCTTCTTCCTTCTATTTACAAGTTAGCAAAGCACAATAAGAAGAAAATAGATCAACATAGAGTTTAAGTTCTATACGCTGAAGGCTACACAATCACGTTACTTAAAAAAAATCAAAATATTTTTTCAAGGAAAACAAGTTCCTTAAAAATGAAGAAAATGATTTCCCTGATGCAAATAGGGAAAACGAGTTCCATAACTGGTCTTCCAAACTTATTGTCTCCTCTTCACCCCCCCCCCCCCCCTCCAAAACTCCCACTCCTCCACCTTTTTCCCATCCCATAGTGTTTACACCAAAAAAATAAGTAAAAGATTCACTTATTTTTCAAGAAAATATTTTCCTTTATACTTAACATGCACACCCATAAAGTAAACACAATCATTAAAACCTTCTATCACATGTTAAATATACTAACACTGACAATGTATATAACTTAAATCTGTATATACATAAGAAAGAAAAATACAACAATATATAAAACAAGGGAAAAGTAGGATTTACTTGGGGAGGTTGATGAGGTATTGACTCTTCTTGAACTACCAAATTCTCATGAAATGAATTATTGGTGAAAGGAGAAGTAAAAGATGAAGAAGCCTTATGTTGCTCTTCATAACTACTTAAAGACCTCAAAGAATAAGAGTTAAAGATTCCAACAGACTTCCATTTCCAAGAAGAAGAAAATGACACAAAAGATGAACTACTTTGTGGACCTATTAATGTACAAGCAATAATTGAAAGAAGAATCAAAGGAATGAAAACCAAAACAACCAAATTAGATGACAAAAATGAAGGCAATTGCAACTTCTTGAAAGACCACATTTTCTAATTTTGCATGCCCACTATACTATCTTTAAATAAATAAATAAGAACATTCTGAGATTCATTACTTCATTTCAAGTTATTCTTTGCTGCAAAATTGCATTATTCTTGCATATAATGTGTTTAAAATAAGCTAAAAAGGGCACTTGCTAAGTAGCCAACACTTTTATGGGGATCTTCTCCTTGAAAAGTTTCCTTAAAGTTCAAGTAATGAAAATTTTATACTTTACTTTTCTCCATTTTTTTGTGCCAATAGTTCAATTCCCAAAATCTAATTTTTCACCCTTCTATGCTTTTGTGTACCATAGCTCTGCTGTAGAAGTTCAAAATAAAATTATTTTTTTAAATTTTAATCTTAATAGTAATTATTCTTAAAAATTATAAATATCTTGATAAAGTAAACATTTAATAAAGATAGAGTATATTTTAAGACATAAATAAAAATAAATTACGAATATCTTAATAAAGTAAATATTTAATAAAAATAGATTATATTTTAAAATATAAATAAAAATAAATTATGAATATTCTTCATAATTAATATTTTTTTAAAAGACATGTAAAAATACAAATAATTTTAGACGGAGATAGAGGGAGTACTAATAAAAATGAAATGAATAACGCTCTTAATTAATTTCATGTATAAATTATAGGAGTTATTACCATTTTCTTAACTTTAAAATTTGAAAAAACCACTTCCCCCATCTTAATTTTTTTGTTGACGGCAGTCTTACACTATAACAAAAGTAATTTTTAGTGGCAATAAATATACACATTAATAAAAAGAGCTAAATTATTTATCGATATTAGTTAATTGTTATTAGATTTAATATCGCTAAAATTTGTAGCAACATCTATAAAGAGTGTTGATTACCATTAAAAATATATTTTTAGTGAAAATTAAGCTATTGCCGTTATATATCATTTTTTGTGTAGTATTAACTAAACTATAATCATAAATTTCTAGAGATCTATAGTATTTTGAAATTAAAAATCAAATCATTCATAATTTTAATTTTGTTGTAGTATCACTAGTATCAATCAAATCATTTCAAAAAAATAATAATTTTAAACTTAATTGTTAAAGTAGCACACTTTAGTCACGTACGTTTGGCTTACTCAAAATGCAAACATGCAACGTATCCATTCATTTAATATATCATCCCATATAGTCAAAAATATACAAATTGGGCTATTCACGAGGCTAAACCGCCCTCCAAGTTGTCATAATATTCATGATGATACAGCAAAACCCAAGAATTATAAGCTGTAATATTTTGACGGAAAAATGGTTGACTTAATTTATTACACCCTCTATTTCATAGTATTAAGCGAATTTTTGAAGTTTTTTTGAGATAATTGTTGAGACCTCCTTGGAGATTTCGCTTCATAACTTATCTTTTTTAGTGATGTATACGTAGATCGGACTTCAGTTCTTTTTTTGTCTAGATGTCGCATTATATTTGCTCGAATTCGAGAAACACAATCATCAAGCTAGAGCTAGTTTCATAGCTACTCACACCCACAGGTCAAAGAAGACCAATAAAATCTCGATTCAGTATAAGCAAGGGTCTCACTTTCTCTGTGGTTTACGATATTACGGTTGTCTCCTTTATTAATTTTAATTTTCTTGTAACCATACTTGAAACCTATTTAAAATAAATATAAATTTAATTATAATTTGACAACTTTGTCTCTCTTTATATAAATTGCTTCATATTAATCCATATTACTTCAAAAATGACTTATTCAATAAAAAATTTAAAAATAAATGTGAATCTTTGTTTGGTAAAAAAATTATTTGTATTGATTTATTTTTAAAGTATTTATTAAATAAGTCATGTTGTTAGTAATATGCATTAATATGAAGAAATTAACATGAAGAAGGGAAAATTTGTTAAGTTATAATTGATTTATATTTATTTTAAATAAATTTAAAGAATGGTAAAAAATCAAAATAAGGGATGTAGGCTAAATATCGTAAATTACATGGGAGGTGAGTGTTATAGAGCGAAACCTGAAGAAAACTCTATGAAATTATCCCTTTTTTTAATTGTTCAGAATAATTGAATTGTTTAAAGTTCAAAAGATAAATGTTTGAAAATACTATAATATCCAATTGCGGTGTTAAATTTTTTTATTTCGATATGATATACTATATCTACTAGGTATAATACATAAATATGCCCTTTAACTTGGTTTCAAATCACATTTATGTCCTTCAACTTTGGGTGTGCTGCACAAGTAGACACTTAAACTTGTATAACGTTGAACAAGTAGACATACATGTCCTACATGACATCCTACATGTCATTTTTTGTCCTACGTGGTGTTCTACGCGTGTATTAAGCCATGTAGGACTCGTGTATTTACTCGTTCTACTTTATACAAGTTTAAGTGTCCACTTGTAAATATCAAAAGTTGGAGGATATAAATGTAAAATGAGGCCAAGTTAAAGAAAACGTTTATGTATTATGCCTATCTACTATATGATGCCCACTTCAATTTTTAACTATATCTCTGACGTCAAATAAATAAATAAAATTTAAAATATTATTCAATATTTAAAAAAAAGTATCTAATTTAACAAAGTATAAAATAAACTTTATTTTTATTTATGGATGTAAAATGAATATAATGAAATTGGAAGGGAGGAAAAATTAGCAATATATTGTAAAGACCGGAGTTGGTGTTGATTGCCCCGAGATTGGAGCTTAAAAGTTGCGTTACCGTAACGTATATTAAATCAGCAATAAATATTTATCAGCTCTATGATAAAGTATTTCAGAAATCCAAGATACTCTATTTTCCTTTATTTTTACAAATGAAATGAGTAAAGAAAAAAATTAGAATTTTGGTCGGTGGATGTAGAGAAATACACCCACTCAATGTAATAAGGGAACTTACATAAATATACTATATTAAAAAATATTTATCATTTATAGCAATAATATTTTTTTTCACTTGATCACTTTTAATAAATTTATAATACAATTTTAATACATATTACAAAGAACAATTTATTATTCACATATAATACAAGTTTTATTGTTGGTTAATACATTTATCACATTTTAATGTAATGTTTCAATTTCTTACCAAACTAGTAAAATATATTAAAAAACAGTTATAATACATATATATTGCATACATAACTTTTAATATATATTGCAGATTTAACATAGTATTGTTATATATTACTATAAATAGTAATAAATAAAAAAGTATCGCTAAAATCGGTAATTATTTATTAAAAGATATCCCAAGTAATTTTGCCATGTAACAATGGGTGCAGAATCTGAGCAATTATTAGAGCCATCAAAATGGGCTTAGCCCAGGGCGCTGGCCCAACCCAACCCGTTATTATGGTAGGATTGAGATATGATATTTCAAGCCCATTTAAAACTTGGGCTTATAAGCCCGACCCATAAAAGCTATTGGCCCTTGAGGCTTAATTGGGGCCGGGACAGGGTCGGCCCATGGGTTAAAACTATTTATTTAAGGGTAACTTACATAAATCTCTCCAGTGTATGAGCTAATTACTTAAAGACACGCTATATTGTAATATTACGAATCTTATCAGATATTGGTACATTCAGATACATGTATCTCGGGATACATGGACTCAAAATTATGTTGATTTGTTCTAGATACACTCAATCTCTCTGAATTCATATGTATCTAGGATACATAAACAAATCTCGTGCCCTCGTCTCCCTTCCATCTCGCTCGTCACTCTCTTATCTCACTCGCGTATCTGGGATGCATCACACCAGATACATAAATCTAGTATCCTAGATACATGCTAATAACACTAGACTTTTTGCTAGTGTAATTGAAACAACACCATTATTTGTCATATTTGATTTGAAAATCCTCTCATCTTCTTGATGTTATAGAATTTTAAGTTTGAAAAGAAAAAAAATAAAAAAATATGGGCTAGCCCGCCCCAGCCCGCGGCCCTTCTAGGGTTGTGTTGGGTTGAATATTTTCAGGTCCTTCCAAATGAAGGATCGGCCCACTCTAGCCCATCAAATTTTCTGACCCGTAAAACTTGGACCGAGTGAGGCTGAGCTGACCCTTTTTGACAACTCTAACAATTATATTACAAGTGTTGTAAAGGCACTCATGATTCAGTTTAGATAAATTTAATTAGTTAAACTAACTTTTTAAATATTGAAATCAAATCAAACTAATGAGATTGATATTTTATCACTTCGTTATAATTGAGTTATATATATTTTGAGTTTGTTGGCCCATTTATCAACATTAAGGTTTATTTTTCAGAAATTAATCATTAGTTAATGATACCTTAAGGTTTCATGTTCAAAAATTACTCATTAGTCAATGATACCGTAGACAATAAAGTTCGCGTCAAGCAAACAATAATCAAGAACGAAAAAATATCGCAACAATTGTTTTATTGATATAAAGTGTGAGGGTTACAATCTCTATAATTCCTCTGAATTCGTCGTTTCAAATATAATTCAAGTGTTCTTGAGCTTGATCTTGAACTTGGGATTTATCTCGATCTTGATCTCTATCTTGATCTTGATCTTGAACTTGAACTTGGACTTGATCTTGATCTTTAACTTTATATTGATATTGACTTCTAGTTGATTTCAAGGGCTTCAAGCTTGATCTTGAATCTAGTGGTCTTGATCTTGATCGTTCTTGAACTTGAACTTTATCTTGATCTTGACTTCTAGTTGAATCCAAGGGCTTCGAGCTTGATCTTGAATCCGGCGGTCTTGATCTTGATCGTTCTTGAACTTGAACTTTATCTTGATCTTGATCGTTCTTGAACTTGAACTTTATCTTGATCTTGACTTCTAGTTGAATCCAAGGGCTTCGAGCTTGATCTTGAATCCGACGGTCTTGATCTTGATCGTTCTTGAACTTTATCTTGATCTTGACTTCTAGTTGAATCCAAGGGCTTCGAGCTTGATCTTGAATTCGGTGGTCTTGATCTTGATCGTTCTTGAACTTGAACTTTATCT